ATGTCGAATGGTGACACTCGGTAAGTAATCCTACAATTTTTTGTTTATAGCGTAGTTTATACGGATTATTCCCAAAAAATATATACGTATTTTGGAAATGTTGAGTCGGATTAGTCTAGAATCGATTAATTTTATGGAAGAAAATCTTTCAAACAGCCGTAGTCCGTAAACTTGACACGTGTCGGGTTGTGATTGGAAGGATTCGTAAGAAAGCGGATTCCTAGAGAATGGAACGTATCTCTATCTTATAGGGGGGTCGACTGTATATGTACAGTACCTAATTTATATATAATTTATATATAATACTGTACAGACGATAGCAAACTCAATTTATTCGCCTAAACTCTCCGTAGTGTGGCGCTGGACGGCGGAAAATAGTTCGGCTGCTCATCCGCGATGACGTTTTACCGTGTTTTACGCGTCCCTTTATACGAATACTGCCGCAATTTTTTCGCCGCGTCATAGGAATCTACGTTATTGGAACCCGCGTTATAGGGGGACCCCCTATAACGCGGACTGTACTGCATATACTGTACTGCATATGTATACTGTACTGCATATGGGCATTACCAGAGAACATAGCCACCTCATAGCCTCTTCGTATCTCTGACATTACAATGCGGAATTTTCCTAGCTCCGTGAGGTATCAAATTCGAATCAATTCAGAAGATTTGAAATCATTAAAATGATAAATCGTGTAAGCTAATAAGCGTCCTTTTGCGAGACGACTATGCTTTGTGCTGCCGAGAGACCAGGTGAACATAAGAACACTGAGTCGCTACTTAGGAAGGATTAGTATCGTAGAAGACGAATTTTAATATAATTTTGCATTAATAAACAAAATGGTGGAAGTAAGATTGAATTGGATCTATAAGATAAGGTAACGACAAAGGGAATGTCCATTCGCGGAAAGACTTTTTATGACAAACTGGTCCCTATTTAAGTGTTGGACACGCGAAGAAAACTCGGAAAATTTCACGTGGCCAGCCCATTCTTTCACGATTGTACCAGTATTGAGGGATTTTATTCACTGGTGAACCCAGCCCTTGTGGAAAACGGCTCATGCACACGTGGACGTTATACTTCGTTTATAATCGTATGACATAAAGTTACCATGGAGTCTATGGTAACTTAAAAGATTATTTAAAAAAAAAAAAAAAACATATGCAAGGCATTATACTGTTGCTAACAGTGGCGGCCTTAGGGGGTGGCGAGCAGGGCAATCGCCCGGGGCCTCGCTCTTGGAGGGGCCTCGCGCAACAACCAAGTAGAAAAAAGTTGATATTTAAAAATTTTTATTTTATCCTTGGCTATTAGTTATAACAATAAAATAAATTTAATTTATAGTACAGTATATATTAATATTAATAAATGCCTACTATTTCAATTCACATACTTTGCACAAAGGACAAGGGCCTCGCAAAG